CTTCCTCCAGCAATTCCAATGCATTTTTCAAGCATGACATTCCTACAAAGTCAGACCAGTCTCCCCGTTACAAGTGGGTAATTTGAGAGCCTGAGTGATGGACCCTTGCCAGGGATGCAAAGAGTCTGGGTTGCAATCTTCATTGCCAGGGTTGCAATAGTAAGATGTATGTAAAATCTGCAATCTTGATTCTGACCTCTCTTCAACCGTCCTTCCATATACACACACACTCTGGTTCTTTAAATCTGACCTGAAGACTTGATAATACATCTGACTTTGACGAATGGATTATCCTAAGCGGGAGATGAGCTTCAGTAAAAACTACAGGCCGAGCCATTGCTAAATGGTACTCATCTGAGTCTGATCATTCAGAAGATGACAGGAAATACAACAAGTCCCAGAAGCCAGGAAGTCTATGGCCTTTATAATCTAATCTAACCATGTATTTCAACATATTATGTCCCCATCTCTTTGGAAAGAGGAGCCGTTCCTGCCCGGGGCTCCTGGATGGCTTTATAAGGCTGTTCCCTTTCCTCTGCAACCCGACGCCCATCCACCGACACTGGGATATGTTAGTAGAGAGTAGAGGTCAGCTCTGGAGAACTCCAGTGACCAGTCAGCCTTTAGTCGCTGGGCCTTCCCCTAAACAAGCTGACGTGCGGTAACAGCAGGCGGCCAAGGTCAGGTCGGCCGGTGGAATTACACACCAAATACAAACTCTCTCAAGAGATACTTGTGAAAACGTGTCACGGCCACGCTGGCTACTCTCCCCACATTTCACAAACTGCCCTCAAGGGTCTACTCAGACTCACAGACAGGATGTGGGCAGGGGTCCTGAGTACTCCCAGCCTGACCAGCAGGACAGGGCAGGGGACCCCAGGCTCTGGAGCTGGACTGCTGGGTCCAAATCCTGAGTCAGTCACCTCCAGGCTTTGCCATCAGGACCTTCCTCGTTAGGGTGTGAGGCTGTAACCGAGCAGGACCCTATGGGGCCTTCCCTGGACAGGCCTTCCCCATATCCTCTGCTTCAGCTCCTCTCTGAAGCACCTAGATAATAGTATTTGATGCAAATTTCCTGGGTTGTTTTGCAGATCTGAAAAAACTCCTATCAAATGGAAAACTACTTGCCGACCAGGAGCACACAGCCCCAGGCCTCCTGGAGTCTGAGGACCCTTAAAGTGACCCTGTGACACCCCTGCTCCCTCCTTCTCAGCCAGTCAGAGAACTGCACAAGGCGATCACATAGCTCGCAACACCACCCACCCTGCCTCCCCTGCCATTCCAAAGCGCCGTGCCAAAACTCTTCGGAGAGTTGAAGATTTTTACAGCATGAGCCACCCACCTCCTTGCACGGTCCTGCTATAAACCTTTCTCTGCTCCAAACTCTGGTGTTTCAGTTTGGCCCCACTGTGCGTCGCCCTTGAACTTGCATTAACAAGGACACAAAGAGTTAACACATACAGAGAACTTGGAACAACCGGGCCTGGAAAATGGTTAAGGGTTCACTACATGTTAGCTATTATTAACCAAGAAAGGGAAAAAGCAAAGGGAAACGTGTTGCATTCTCTACTTCCACCTCCCTCTTTCAAGTTACTCCGATTTGCTTTCTTGACGTGAAACGATGATGTCCTTTGAAAACATTTGCTCTGTGCAACATGAAGCATGTTTAATGATTAGTCCACAAAAACAACAACAAAAAGGCCAATGTTGATGCTTCCTTGGGAGAAAGCCTGCAAGTGAAGGTCAACGCTGCTCTCCGGGGCTCCTGGAAGAGCTCGGTCACTCACGGGCTTACAGAAGTATAAACAAGACGGTTATACTTTGGGGAGGTTTGTCGACCAGCCTCAACCTCAAAATGAGCCTAAAGAAGTGTTCCCTTGTTTTAAACTCACCTTTATGGCCTGAAAGTTTTTTTTTTAAACCTACACTTTAAAAAAGTATATAAACTATTCTGACACCAGAGGAAAGAAAAAAGGGAGGAAGAAGTAGATGCAAATGGCCAAGTCCCTGTGAGAAGAAAGGGTATTTTTCAAGCATGAGCCCACTCCCAGGAAGTGAGGGAGTTCTTATCTGACTCAAGCAGAAAAAAAGATCATTCCACTCTAAAGGCTAAGGTAATAGTAGAAAAATCAGACAGTAGACATTTGATAAGTATGGGTTGTCATAATTGACTGTGAAGCAGAAAGTACTTGGTATTTTGAAAGTACTGTTCAACTAAGAATTGGTTTCCGAGGTGGCACAGTGAAGAATCCATCTACTAATGCAGGAGATGCAGGTTTGATCCCTGAGTGGGGAAGATCCCCTGGAGAAGGAAATGGCTTCCCACTCCCAGTATACTTGCCTGGAAAATTCCTGGGGGGGTGAGGGGTGGCTACAGTTCATGGAATCGCGAAGAGTTGGACATGACTGAGCACACAGCACCGGGGTGTGGTCGGGGTATTATCACTCCAGAAAGAAAGGTGCTGTTAGTCGCTCAGTTGTTTCTGACTCTTTGTGACCCCATGTACTATAGACCCCCCGCCCCCCCAGGCTTTTCCATCCATGGAATCCTCCAGGCAAGAATACTGGACTGGGTTGCCATTCCCGTCTCCAGGAGATCGAACTGGGGTCTTCTGCATCGCAGACAGATTCTTTATCTTCTGAGCCATCAGCAAAGCCCAGATAGAAAGGAAGAAAACAATAAAAACCATCAACAACAACCAAAATGCTTTTTAATTAAAGCTCCAGATGGAAAATCGTCATCAGATTAACCTTCCTAAAGACCAAAAAATAAATGATTTCTCTGGGGGTGCTCATCTGCCTAAAAAACGTATTTCCCCAGAGCCTATGGGAGAGAGTGGAACATGTCTTGAGGGAACGGAGCCCCCACCTACATTTCCAATCTTGCTTCTCCACCAGGAAAGGTCCACTCCTGCCAGACTGGCTTCCTTATTTGTTCCAGGGGAGGAACAAACCATTCTCATTTCAGCTTTGTATCCCCAGCGCCGACCACAGTACTTGGCACACAGTAGTTTCTCAGTAAATGGTTGCTGATTCGACAGAAACGTGAATGCTTTCACGCCTGGGCTCTGTGCCTCCCTCCTGGGAAGCCCCATGCCCACCCACCTCACGAAAACCCAGCCATCCTCCAAGGCCTGCTTCTCAAAACCGGCACCAAAGCATCAGCCCTTGCGATTCCCCTCCCCCGTTCTCTATACCTACGGAATCCCAGCCCTTTCAGACCTTGATTGCTATTGAAATATCTCTTGTTCCTGTGTTTGGCCTGCCCCACTAAAATAGGAGTTTCTAGAGAACGGCAGGATATTTTGGAGCAAAGAGAAGCAGTGGAAAGGTTATTGATTGGTGGCTAGGCAGATCTAGTTATGTGGCTTTGGGAAAAATTTTCTGAAAGCATTTTGAACAGGGCTTGGAACGCAGTGCGCACTTCATAAAGGCTACTGGGCTTCCTTGGTGGCTCAGCAGTAAAGAATTCGCCTGCACTGCAGGAGAAGTGGGTTCAGTCCCTGGGTTAGGAAGATCCTCTGGACAAGGAAATGGAAACCCACTCCAGTATTCTGGCCTGGAAAATCCCATGGACAGAGGAACCTGGCGGGCAACAGTCCATGGGGTCACAAAAGAATTGGACACGACTTAGTGAGTAAACAACGAAGGCTATTACCACTGTTTAGCTCTTGGAACCTCAAGTTCTCTTGCTTACAAAATAATATTGATAATAAATTCTCTGACAGGCAGGGTTTTTTTTAAATATAGTTTTGTTTTTATTTTTTATTTATTTATTTTTTGGCCTTGCTACATGTCACGTGGGATCTTAGTACCCGGATTAGGGATTGAACCCTGGCCCTTGCATTGGAAGTGTGGAATCTTAACCACTGGATCACCAGGGAAGTTCTAAAGTGGGTCTTTATGAAGATAAGAAATAATGTCTGAAAAGTCTCTAGGGCCTTCCTTAGCATAAAATGGCCACTCAGTAGCCACATGGCAGCTATTTTTGCAAAGCTTCATGCTGGGTGCAGAGAAAATGCCCCATAAACTTTTATGGAATGAGTTGAATGAATGGAGAGAGAGACAGTCTGATATCAACTCAGATATCGAGGGGAAATTTGTCAGTCATTCATTCAACAGATCTTTATGAAAGGCTTATCACAATGTCCCAGGCTTTGTTCTGGGTGCTGGCTTTCGACAGTGGCACAGCCCCCTTGCCCTGGGAAATGTACATTCTGATGCAAAAGGCAGATAATAGAAGTGACAAGGCAACAGAAGCTTATTTGGTATTAGGGAGAATTGGTGTTTTCGAATTGTGGTGCTAGAGAAGACTCTTGAGAGTCCGTTGGACTGTAAGGAGATCAAACCAGTCAATCCTAAAGGAAATCAACCCTAAATATTCACTGGAAGGACTGATGCTGAAGCTCCAATATTTTGGCCACCTGATGCGAAGAGCTGACTCATTGAAAAAGACCCCTGATGCTGGGAAAGAAAGAAGGCAGGAGGAGAAGGGGGTAGCAGAGGATGAGATGGTTAGATAGCATCACTGACTCAATAAACATGAAATCTGAGCAAACTCTAGAAGACAATGAAGGACAGGGAAGCCTGGCATGCTGCAGTCCATGGAGCTGCAAAGAGTTAGACATGATTTATCGACTGAAAAACAACAACGTGGTATTAGTTGCTATGAAGAGGAATGAAAAGCAAGGTGTGGACAAGCTAGGGATTGGGCAAGGGAAGTCTGCAGAGGTGGCGTTTAGGCAAAGCTTCAGAGGGGCAGATCCAAGGAGAGCTAGGTTTTGTGAGCTGTCCTCACCCTCAGGCAGACCGGGTACTTTTCCACGGGGCAGCCTCTGGTGCCAGGAGACCCTGCTCCACCAAAGAGGCTGCAGTCTGGCTCCTCTCAACTCAGACCAAGCCGCAGACATTGCTGAACCAGCAATTACAAACTTATTTTGACAAGACCATTTGACTCGGCCACTTAGCCCCGAGTGAAAGTAAACAGAAAATAACCATACCGCCACTGGTCTGTTCCCCAGAAAGTTCAGATCGCTGTTTTCTCCGAACAAGTAGCCTTCGGGGTGAGTTGAATCAAACTTCTCTCCTCCCATAATGAAGTGGCTGGCAAAATAGCTTCCTAGAGGGCGAGAGACAGAAACCAGTCAAACTAAGCCAAGTGAAGAAGCCGATTCAGGGGGAAAAAAAAATGTTAACCCTTCAACAATTAGAGCCATTTCTAACCCTAGGAAGATTTTCTTCTCTTGATTGGGGATAAAGGCACAAAATACGCAAAATCCTAGCAGTGAGAACCCAAGATATCAAGTATAAAATAGATCACTGTGTTCCTTTTGACATTCTTTTATTTTGGCTATACTTCACGTGGGGTTTCTCTAGTTGCAGTGACTGAGGACTTCTCTTGTGGTGGCGTGGTGGCTCAGTGGTCGCAGCACACGGGCTTAGTTGCCCTGCGGCATGTGGGATCTGCCCAGACCAGGGATCAAATCCCCCTGTCCCCCACATTGGCAGTCGAATTCTTAACCACCGGATCACCGGGAAAGTCCCTTTTGACATTCCTAATTGAATCTTTACCATGATCTGCCTATCACACCAAGAAGCGAAAGACCAGAAGGCCCCACAATGCACATTAATGAATATATATATATATATGTGTGTGTGTATTTTGTTCCTGAATTTTTTCCCTCACACCTGAAGTGGTTATTCCTTACCCTACATGTACTCATGAATCTTAACTGCAGGTATCAGCATGCACACACACACATATGTTCCTTTGCCTAGATTTTTCATACACCAGCTCATACCCAAACACAGTAGTCTCAGCATTTCCCTGCCAATTCCATGTATACCTCCAACACCCTCCACAATGAAGGCTCCTTGTGTTCCATATTTGCTTTAAAATGATGGTTTAATAGGAAAATACAAATTAAGTAATACTGCCCCAGGCTTTACCAATCAACTACTACACAGATTCTTGCCTGGAAAATTCCATGGACAGAGGAGCCTGGCGGGCTGGAGTCCACTGGGTCTCAGAGTCAGACACAACTAAGCAACTGGGCACTCACATACCACACGGATTATATTGCTTAACTGGACAAGTTTAGTGATTTTGAAAGACACGGACATGCATATACACCCTAGTCGCAAATTCATTAGCAGTCTTCATGGCCAAGGTTACAGGGCTGGTCAAGGTTACCCACCTTGACCAGCCAGGAGGCAGGAATATTTTCAACTCTACACTAACCAGAGGCAATCTGCAGCCAGGGTCAGGATCTCCAACTGCCTTATCCAGACAGCTGGAGGAACCAAGCTAGGACACGATGGCAATAAGTAACCGAGGCTTAGGTAACACTGCCCATTCCATCTGAGAACACTTTCTAGATCTGATTAAACGCACGCTTCTCACCGACTGATCAACAACAGGTCCTACCGCATAGCACAGGGAGCTGTGCTCAATATTCTGTGATAAACCACAAAGGAAAAGAGTACAGAAAAGAATGTACATATACAAACAGAATCATTTAACTGTACAGCAGAAATTAACACAGTGTAAATCAACTATATGTCAATAAAAACACAACAGTAACAATAACAACCACCCAAATGCTTCTTAGCCCACATTTCTATAACCTAATTCTCCCATAAAGGTAAACTGTTCAAAAGTGAGTGACTCAGCCATAACATATTCTATCAATGCTCTCATATACCCCACTTCTTGGATTAATACAAAGAACTTATGAACCAGCAAAAGTCTTCTTTATGTGTTATATGGCTAGGATAAATGTTTCAATTTTTTAAGTTTACAGAAAACTCTAAAAAAATGAGATTCAGCACTTTTAGCCTGTGAAGAAGCCACAGCAACAAAGGCAGAAAGTCCTAATAGGAAAATGGAATCAAACATTCATTTTTTTGGATTTTCTACACATGGAGTTGCTTTGGTCTAGAAACACATTAAACAAAACAACATGGATAAAATCCCTTGCCACAAAGTGAGGCAATTCTTTAATTAACCAGCAAGCAGGAAAACATTATTTGAGAGTCGTTGTTGTTATTTTAATTCCTAAGTCGTGTCTGACTCTTTGGGACCCGGGGGGACCGTAGCCTGCCAGGCTTCTCTGTCCATTAGATTTTTCAGGCAAGAATACTGGAGTGGGTTGCTATTTCCTTCTCCAGGGAATCTTCCTGACCCAGGGATTGAACCCATGTCTTCTGCATTAGCAGGTGGATTCTTTTACCACTGAGCCTCCTGGAAAGCCCCTTGAGGGTGAAAGCAGCCAAAACCAAAGCAATCTAGGAGGAACCCTTGACAGTTACCCATCAACATGGAAACACACAGGGGCAGCCATCCACAGGGATACACGGTGCAATTCATCATTTAGGAGCTTCGTTATAAATTATTTATGGCTAGCACTTGCTAGCCCTATTTTCCACGTGCATAATTTATACAGAAGGAGGTGCCTAGCTGTCACAAACAGAAGCAGCCATCTCAAAGAATTTGTCATTTACTGTCAGACATTAGGAAAATATATTTTCTACACATTAGACAATATACATGTACTATACATTAGGTGAAATTAGGAAAGATGTTTACATTAATGGGTGGCTTGCCCAGATCATGAATAAAGAAAGGGGAGAAGCAGGTTCGGTGTCTGGAGTGGTACAGGCTGAGTTCAATCTGGGACACGCTGAGTTTCCAGGACCTGGAGCCATCAGGTGAGGGACGTGGGGACAATGAAATCAACGGATAATCAGCTTACACATGGTAGAGATTGATCCTAGCAAGAGAAGAGCACTAATGGCTTCAGGGTTAAAGGCTTCGGGGTTAAAGCATTAAAGATGGCAGGGTTCTACTGGAAATGCCCTTTAGGGGACAGCCACGATAATAAATGAAATTACCCAGAAAGCAGTGTGCAGAGCTAACTGTAACCTTGTCTGGCATTTTACTTTCTTTTTTAACTTTTAACTTAATTTTTTATTTTTAAATAAATATATTCAGCTGCACAGGGTCTTGGTTGAGGCATGTGAACTCTTAGTTGTCGAATATGGGATCTAGTTTCCTGGTCAGGGATCATACTTGGGCCCCCTGGAATAGAAGCTTGCTGTCTAGGCCACTGGACCACCAGGGAAGTCTCTATTTTCTTTTATGACTATTTAAAAGAAAAAAAAATTATTTTTGGCTGCACTGCACAGCATGTGGGATCTCAGTTCCCCAACCAGGGACTGAACCCACATCCTCTGCATTGGAAACTCAGAGTCATAACCACAGGAGTCCCAGGGAAATCCAGCCTCACTTGGCAGTAAAAATCAAGAGCACACATATACAAAGACCTAAAAGTAAGGTCAATAATCCACCTTGAAAAGGAGATTTTTTTCATTTCGAGAGCAGTGCCAAGGCCACACTCATCTCCCTTGGCACATGTAAATATGAACGCCTCATGAGATAAAAGAAAAACTAAACACAACCCACATTTTGCTTTTTTCTTCTCTTTGAAATTAGACTGCAGAGAGAGCGAACTCGCCATCTGCAGCCTGGGTAAGGCATGCTGTTTGCCCAGGCTGCCCGGAGGTGGGGATCAGGGCGCAGTGACCTGGACGGTGAGGCCACATCAACAGACGGGAACACCAAATGCACCAACAGGCTCTGAAAAAAAAAGTGCCTTGTGGACACCGTCTGCACATTGTTGCTTCTTCGTGAGAACTGCGCACTAAGATCAGAAATGGTATGGAAAAGAGAACTACACTAAAACATTTCTTTGCCTATTTGTGAATAGGAAACAACATACATGACTAGTAGATTGCCTGCAAGCTTTTCATTATTAATTGGCTATGGTTTTTATTTTACTTTGTAGGCCCCCTATGTAGCATGTGGGATCTTAGTTCCTCAACCAGGGATCAAACCTGCAGTCCTCACATAGAAAGTATGGAATCCTAATCACTGGACCTCCAGGGAAGTCCCATAGTTGGCTATAATTTATTAACCAAATCATAATTGGAATTCTTTGCAGGCTTTCAGAAGATACATCTTGGGACATCCCTGGTTCAAGGGTTAAGAATCCACCTGCCAACGTAGAGGATGTTGGTTTGATCGCTGGTCCGGGAAGATTCCACAAGCCAAGGAACAACTAAGCCCAAGAGTCACAACTACTCAACTCAAGTGCCCAGAGCCTGTGTTTCGCAACAAGAGAAGTCAGTGCACCACAACTAGAGAACAGCCCTCGCAAAGCAATGAAGACCCACTGCAGCCAAAAACAAATTCAATTTAAAAAATCTAAACCTTATTTTAAAACAGAATATCTTGTAATCGTTTGGCAAGATACACATAGATCAAATTATCATGTTGTACCCCTTAAACTTACAGAATGTTGTCAATTATATCTCAATAGAACTAGAAAAAAGAAGCCACATCATACTCAAAAATTATATACTTTTAAGAAAAACTTTTATTGAAATCTAGTTGATTTACAATGGTGTGTTAGTTTCAGGAGTATAGCAAAGTGATTTGGTTATAGATATACTTTTCCATTACAAGTTATTACAAGATACTGAGTATATAGATTATAGCTGCTTATGCTATATAGTAGGTCCTTGTTGGTATCTATTTCACATATAGTAGTATAGGCATTTTAATCCTAAGCTCCTAATTTATCACTCACCCCCTAAATTGTATTTAAAACATAAGATGTGTGTGGGAGGGAAGAGGGGGAATTCATGATTAATGGGTATAGCTTCAGCTTTGCAAGAAGACGTTCTAGAGATCTTCACACTAATGAACTGTTAACACTTGAAAATGGTTAAGGTGGTAAGTTTAATGTTACACTTTTTTAACCACAATAAATAAAATATCAAAGGGGAAAACCCCATAAGGTATGGCCCAGAATGATCAGTATTAGTACAGTTCAGTATTTTTTTAAGTATTAGAGAAAAAAAGGCATCCAGATTAAAAAGAAATTACTTACAAGGGAAGAAAATTACACTAGTACTGTTCTTCCAGATTAGCACTGTTCAGTAATAATATACCATGACAGGACTTCCCTGGAGGTGCAGTGGTTGACTCTGGTCTTCCAGGGTAGAGTCAAGAGTTTGATCCCTGGTCAGGGAACTAAGATCTCACATGTCTTGAGGCGTGATCAAAAAAAAGAAAAAGCAAGCCGCATATGTAATTTAAAATGATCTAAGAGCCATATTTTTGAAGTAAAAACAATCAAAATTAATTTGAATATATTTTATTTAACCCAGCATTGGATATTCTAATAACCCAATGTATCTAAAATACTAATTCAACATGTAATCAATATAAAAATATTTTAAGGTGCTAGTCACATTCTTTTTTCAACTATCTGCTAAGAAGAATACAGCTATTTGTTACTCAGCATGTGAAAAAGAAATATCTTGGAATTAACAATCTTAAATTGTTTACCCAATGAACTACACTACTGGGGTATATTCCTAACATCATAATGAAAGCAAATGTTGCTCAGTGGATTCTAGAATTTATGTCTGCCCCAATGAGATATTCTGACATTTGCCACCAAACCACTATGAACTATTACATCACACAATAAAGGGCAGTTAACACTTTTCACTTTTCTTCAACTCTGTATTTAATGGATACCCTAAATGTTAACAAACAAAAACTCTTAATCTGGGGGGACTTCCCTGGCGGTCCGGTGGTTAAGAATCTGCCTGCCCGTGCAGGGGACACAGGTTCAATCCCTGGTCTGGGAAGACTCCACACACCTCGTGGCAACTACTGCGTCCACGTGCCTAGAACCGGAGCTCTGTAACAAGTCACTGCAGTGAGAAGCCTGCGCACCCTCACGAAGAGTAGCCCCTGCTGGCGGCAACTAGAGGAAGCTGCGCACAGCAGTGAAGACCCAGTGCAGCCAAAAACAAAATTAATTAACTTCAAAAAGATAATGATTCTGCCCCCAAACAAACAACAAAAAACAGTTTGCAGCCTTCTAGGTTTTCCTATACATATATAAGCACATTCAAGTTTTCGGTTTTGCTTTATTTTGTTTTTTAACCTAATTAAAATATTACTCATATTGATCTGCACGTAGCTTTTTTTTCTCTAATGTAATATTGGCAACTTTCCACGTCTGTACTTATGGACTTATGGATTGACTTCATTGTTTTTTTTGTTTTTTTTTCTGGCCCACTTCAATTGGCTTACAAAATCTTAGCTCCTTGACCAGGGGATTGAACCCAGACCTGGCCAGGTCCTAACCACTGAACCACCAGGGAATTCCCAACCTCATTGTTCTTAACCACTATATAATAACAACCTCTTTTTGAAGGCTTACTCTATATACCAGTGTTATACTAACAAATATTACATAGGTTATTCCTTACGACCCTGTAAGGTGGGTGTTAACTTTTTTTTATTATTATTTTACCAAAGAGGAATTGAATGCCCAGAGAGGTTAAGGACTTTGTCCAAGGTCACACAGTTAAGAAGAGGCAGTGCCATGCCCCAAATCCAGCTATTTTTATTCCAAAGCCTGTGTGTGCTCTTAACCATTATACTGTAATCCCATTGAGTGTCTAGATTGAATTAACCGTTTCCCTCCTGATAAACACTCCCTACTCTTTCTAGTTTATGTTGCTTGTCTGGTTTTTTTTTTTTAATTTTATTGTTTTTACATCTGGAATTGTCCTTGTGAACCGTCTGAGATAAGGGTTTAATTTTTTTTTTCTAAATAGGAAACATCACTAACATAATTTCTTGACTATTCCATTTCCCCCACTAATTATTTTACTTTCTTATTTATTTATTTATGGTTGTGCTGGGTCTTCATTGCTGCTGGGCTTTCTCCAGTTGCACATTTCCCCCACTGATTATTTTACTTTCTTATTTGTTTATTTATGGTTGTGCTGGGTCTTCGTTGCTGCTGGGCTTTCTCCAGTTGCGGCGAGTGGGGCTTCCTCTCTACTTGCGGTGCCTGGGCCTCTCATTGCAGTGGCTTCTCTTGCTGCTCAGTTCGGCTCCAGGATGTCTGGGCTTCAGTAACTGTGGATCCTGAGCTCTAAGCACAGGCTCAAACATTGTGGCCCATGGGCTCCTCCACTAATTGAAATTTGAATTTTATCATGCTATATATATATATATATATATATATAGATAGATAGATCTGGATCCTACTCTATTCTGAACAAGTACAACATAGTGGGGGTTTTTTGGGGGCGGGGGAATGCCCCGAGGTCTCAGCTGTGGGGTGCAGGATCTTTTAGTTGCACCATACAAACCCTCAGTTGCAGCATGTGGGATCTAGTTCCCTGACCTGGGATCAAACCCGGAGCCCCTGCATTGGAAGTGTGGTTGTCTTAGTCACTAGACCACCAGGGAAGTCCCACTACAGGTTTTAACAACTGTAGCTTCAGAGTATATACAGCAAGGCACACGTCAACAGACCCAAACCTTTCCCACGTTCTCACGTCCCCAACCTTGATCCCTCTACCTGTTTTCCTTCTACTTTGTGGCGCTCTTTAAAAACCCTTTTCAGTTACCAAAGTTTCACTACCTTCAACTTCCCTATATTTGTATTCATACTTTCTTCCCGTCTCAAGAAGATATTCCTATTTTCCCCATCGCAAGCTTAATTTTTTCACCTAGGTTCTCATTCCCAACTAACTCTACCTCCTCCAGACCTCGTCAGCAACCATCCTTCTCACTCAAGATTTCTATTCCTCGTTCTCCACTGGCTTTTTGTTGGCCTCTACAAACATATTCTCTCCCTGACTTAAAAAACAAATACAAAAACAAATTCCTTGAGACCCAACCACTTACCCATCCATCCATCCATCCACCCACTCATTCACCCACCAGCCCATCTACCCACCCACTCATCCACCCACCAACCCATGCACCCACCAACCCATGCACCCAACAACCCATCCATTCACCAACCCATCCATTCACCAACCCACCCATCCATCCATTCCTCCATCCTCTGTCTGCTCCCACCCCCACATGCAACAACTCCTCCAAATCTTTACAGCAGTTTCTACCACTGCACTGGAACTCTTCTCCAGAACACCAACCAGGCCAACCGTCTTTTCTCACACTTCATTCACCCTATGAATGCTTCAACACTAATTTCTTTCTTTTTTAGTATTTCTTTCTTTATTTGACTGCTCTGGGCCTTAGTTGTGGTGAGCAGGAGCTACCCTCTCGTTGCGGTGAATGGGCTTTTCCCCACGGTGGACTCTCCATCTGTGGAGCATGGGCTCTAGAGCTTGAGGGCTTCAGAAGCCTCAGCACTTGGGCTCAGTGGTCGCAGCTTGCTGGCTCTAGAGCATGAGCTCAGTAGTTGTGGTGTGCGGGCTTAGTTGCCCTGAGGCATGTGGAATCTTCCCCGACCAGGGATCAAACTCATGTCCCCCACACTGGCCAACAGGTTCTTAATCACTGGACCACTAGGGAAGTCCTCAAGCTCTCCTCTTTATTTTATTCAACTGGCATAAAATACTGGGTATTGCCTTTTTTAATATTTATTTATGTATTTGGCTGTGCCGGGAATTAGATGCAGCATTCGGGATCTTCCATCTTTGCTGCGTGTGGGATCTAGTTCCCTGATCAGGGATTGAACCCGAGCATTGAGAGCTGAGTCTTAACCACTGGACCACCAGGGAAGTCTCTTTACTGTTATTTTTAAAAACAGTCTTTACTGAGGTATAATATACACAGCATAAAATTCATCCATGCTACAATTCAATGATTTTGGCAACTATTACCACAATCCAGTTGAAAATATCACCATCCCAAAATGCTCACTCATGTCCATTTACAGCTAATTCCCACTCCCATCCCCAGCCTTAAGCAAACCCTGCTCTGCTTTCTATTTCTTTGTATTTGCTATTTCTAGTCCATACAAATGGACACATACAATAATACATCATCTTGTATCTGGCTACTTTCACTTACCACAATGTTTTTGGGGTTAATCTGCATTGTGTAGCATATACCAATAGCTGTTTTCTTTAAATTGCTGAATAGTATTATAATGTATGAATATACCTTATTTTGTTAATCCATTCACCAGTTGATGGGCATTTGGATTACTTTCAGTTTTTTATCATTATGAGCAATACTGTTATGAACAATCGAACACATGTCTTTGTGTGTATCTATGTCTTCATTTCTTTTGAATAGATTTACTCGTTGGAAAAGACCTTGATGCTGGGAAAGAATGAAGGCAGGAGGAGAATGGGATGACAGAGGACGAGATGGTTGGACTTCATTATCGTCTCAATGGACATGAGTTTGAGCAAGCTCCGGGAGATGGTGAAGGACAGGGAAGCCCTGGTGTGCTGCAGTTCATGGGGTCGCCAAGAGTTGGACATGACTGAGCGACTGAACAACAATAGGAGTGCAACTGCTAGATCATAAGGTAAATTTAAGTTTAACTTTTTAAGACACTCTCAAACTCTTTTCCAAATTGGCCATTACCATTTTGCATTCCCATCCATAAGGTACGAGGATCCCAATTTCTCTGCATTCTCACCAACACCTGATGTTGCCTCTTTTACTGTTGCTTTCCTAGCAGTTTTGAAATGCTGTCTCATTGTGGTTTTAATTGTATTTCCCTAATAACTACTGATGCTGAGCATCTTTCAATGTGTTTATTGGCTACTCCTGTATCTTCTTTGGTGAAATGTCTATTCAACTCTTTTGTCCATTTTTAAATTGAGTTGTCATCTTAATATTGAGTTGTAAGAGTTGTCAAAATATTCTGGATGTAAATCCTCTATGTGTTTTGCAAATATTTTCATTCAGAAGGTGGCTTGTCTTTTCATATCCTTAATGTTGTTTGAAGTAGAAACATTTTTAATTTGGAAGAAATCCAATTTATCAGTTTTTTCCCTTATGGATTTTGCTTTTGGCATTGTATCAAAGAACTCTGCCCAATCTGAAACAAATACATAGCTTCTCCTATATCTTCTTTTAGGGGTTTTATAGTTCTAACTCTTGAATCTAAGTCCATTTTTTTCTTTTTTAATTTTTGGCCCCATCGAGGAGCATGTGGGATTCTCAACCAGGGTTTGAACTCTTGCCCCCTGCATTGGAAGGTAGAGGCTTAACCACTGGACCAGCAGAGAAGTCCTCTTTGTTGTCATTTTAGTCACTGAGATGTGTCCGACTTTTTCTGTGACCCCATGGACTGTAGCTCACCAGGCTTCTCTGTCCATGGAATTTCCCAGATGAGAACACAGGAAAAGGGTCGCCGTTTCCTTCTCCAGGGGATCTTCCTGACCCGAGGATAGAACCTGAGTCTCCTGCACTGGCAGGCAGATTCTTTACCTCTGAGCCACCCAGGAGGCCCTGGGGAAGCCCAAGGTCCCTTTTAAAAACAGCTTTATTGAGAGATAATTCACATACCATACAATTCATCTATTTAAAACATACAATTCAATGGTTTTTTAGTATATTCACCAA